GGGCAGTGCCGGGCCTGATGCGCCCCACGGTATGGTACACACACACGCCAGCATCACGATACTAAAACAAATCCAGGGATCTTTGCTCCCCTGAATTCTTATTTCCATCTCTCACTCTGGCAAAACAGAGCTTGCAATGAAGACGTTGCTGCCAGATGTAAATACACCCGAAGCCAAGGGGCTGTCGCGGGGCTATAAAAGGCTGTGAGCACGTACAATGAAGCTCTCTGTCCTGCACAAGCAACGGAGCCCATGCCTAAGTTGCCACAAGCTGTCCCCGTTCTGCGCCCTCCCAGCTCCTGGTGCCCCATCAGCCCCTCTCCAGCAGGACACCACGACGAGCTGAGCAGCTGAAACGCCTGCAGCTCAGTACAGCACTGCTCAGCAACAGCTAGAAACACTGCCGTGTTATCAACACTCTGTGTTTCTCCTGAAGCCAAAAGAGAGCACCAGATGCCAAGAAGGAAAACAACTCTGTCCCAGTGGAAACGGTGACACAGTTTAATTTTACTGGGGGGGACGTGGGGATGGGCTGAAGGGCCCTGAGAAGGACTCCCAGACCCCAAGGCCACAGCTGGGGCAAACGCACACAGTGGCGTCGAGGGCTCCTTCCACACCAAAACTGCCAGGAACAGCCCCAGGCTGCAGGGCAGGAGGGGTTCTGGGTGGAGCCGGGCAGAATGGGGTGACATCACTGCCACTGCACAATGGGCCTCGTCCCCCTGAGGGCACAGCTGGAGCAGCAGGCGCATTTGCCGCTGTTCCCTCTTGAGCTTCAAGATGGAGCAGAGACCCCTGAGCCAACCCCAAGAGGCATGGCCAGAGATACCGAGGGCACCCCGCAACCCCACGGCCCAGCAGTGGCCCTACGAGGTGTGCGAGGTGCAGCCCCTGCAGGGGCCATCGGGCTCAGCTGAGGATCCTGCCTCCATCGTGTCACCGCAGGAGGAGGATCCCCTGAGCTGCATCCGCGCCGGCTGCACGCGCAGACCCCAGGTAGTGGGCACTCTGTGCTTCCCTGGCGGCCCCTGCCCAGCCGTGCCCTGAGGGTGCCGGCACCTCTAACTCCCCTCCCTGTCCCAGGAACAGGCACAGAAGCTGAGCTTCCTGGCCTGCATCCACACCACCTGCACAGCCGCCCGCAAGGACAGCCAAGCTCAGTATCACCTGTGTGCCTGTGCGTCGGAGGTGGCGCAGTGCATTGAGGTAAGGGGAGCGCTGCAGGGCCGGGCGGTGGGCACAGCGCTGCCCACTGCGGGGTCGCTGGGGAGCCCCGGAGCCGGGACGGGGGGCCCGGGCTCTGCACACCAAGCAGGGCCCACTGCACCGTCCCATCCCTTCCCATCCTGCTGTGCCCTCAGGCGCTGCTGCAGGAGGAGCCCGCCGAGTGCCCGGACGTGGAGCTGCGGCAGCAGGCCATCAGCGCCATCGCCGCCATGAGGTACCGCCCCAGCCCAGCTTTGGCCAACGTGGTGGCACTGGTCCCGGCCGGGGGCCGTGAGCAGAGCATCACGCCTCTGCCCTCTCTCCCTTGCAGCAAAGCACAGCTGCTTCCAGAGGAGGAGAACAAGAGTCTCCTGCGCACCTGCATCAGCAGCGTCCTCCACCTGCCAGGCCGTGAGGATGACACGGACTGGGAGGTGCGCATGGCCTGAGCCCCGGGAACGCTTCCTGGGCACCAACCGCCTGGGATGCCGCTCTGCTGCCAGCAGGACGCAGCAGGGACGGCCACCCTGACCCCTGTCCTCCTTGCAGATCATGGAAGCCCTGCACCGCCTGCTGCAGGGGCTGTTGGGCAGCACCGGCTCCACTGTCCTCAAGGAGCTGCAGAACATCTTGGAGGTCTGGCTGTGTGGCAAGGCTGGGATTTGCGGGGACGGTTTCAGGCCGTGAAGGGGGATCCACGCGAGGTCCCCCCACGGCCTGCTGCGGGCAGGGGGTGCTGGCCCGAGGCCGGCCCTTGTGGGGTCAGAGGGATGGGTGGGGAGCAGCGGGAAGGCGGCAGGGCCGCAGCAGGACAGGGACGCAAACACCCAGCCCCACTGCAGCTGGGGAGCGAGTGGAAGGACGAGCGCCCCGTGCCAGGGGCCAACCAGCTGCTTTTCTCTCCACAGCTCCTGCTGCCCTTCACCATGTGCCAGCAGGCCACCGTGGAGGAGAGGGCCGTGGCGTGCATTGGCAGGCTGCTCGCCTTCACCAACTCCTGCTCCTCGCCCAAGGTAGGAGCCCTGGTGCTCACAGCTCCGGGGACCGCGTCCTGGCTCCCCAGCCGGAGCCCACCTGTCTCGCCTGCCTCCAGGCTTGCGCACAGCCTGGGCTGGGCCCCGCTGCCCCGCTCAGCCGTGCGCCCCCACTGCCTCTCTCCCCAGCCGTGCTCCTGCTTCATGGAAATCGCGGCCTTCCAGCACAAGTGCCAGGAGAACCAACGTTTCCCTATACTGGGGAAGCTGGCCGGGCACCTCATCCTCTCCTGCACCTCCACGGATGAGAGGACGAGAGACGAGGCGATGAAGGCTGTCCATCAGCTTTTCACCCTCATCCCCATACCAAGTGAGAGGAGTTGCATTGGGCTAGGTCCCTCCGACCTCCAGGTGCCCAGGCCCCTCACTCACATTGTGTGCGCTCCCCTCCAGGATGGTCGCTGGAGCAGCAGAGGCCCAAGGTACCACGGCTCTGGGAGAGCCAGCTAGCTTTGCTCCACCAGGAGGCTTCCCACGACAACAGAGCCATTAAGATCTTTCAGGTAAAAGAGCAAACCCTGAGCCCACAGGAGAACCCAGGCCTGCAGTGTCAGAAAGAGCGCAGGTGCTTTCCCCAAGCAGCCCTGGTGCCCGTACGGCCAACACACTCCCTATCCTTGGTGTCTCCCAGCCCAGCCCCTGCTCCCAGCTCTCCTGAGGCACTGACACGGCCCAGCAGCCACACAGGGGACGAGTCATCCCTCCTCTCCTTCTTCCCACAGGTCCTTCTGAAATACCTGGCGTACCCTGAAACGGTCAACATATTACTTTGCACCATCGAGAGCATGACAGCGCCGAGCCTCCACAGCACCGAGCTGGCTGCCCACATGGTGGATGTGCTCGCTGCAAAGACTTGCTTCCCTCCACGGCAGGTGGGAACCTGCTGCTGACACAGCTGCAGCCCTCGGGGCTCTGCCCCATCCCTGGCACCGGCACCGTGCTGTGCCCACAGGCAGCAGAGCCCTGCTCCGGTGCCGTCCCCTTCTCACGTGTGTCCCCCTCCAGGTGTGGAAGATCATGAAGACCATCTACAACAGCCTGCCGTCCATCAGAGACAGGGCAGCTCGCAAGAGCCTGGGCAGGGCCCTGCTCGTGCTGGCCAGCAAATTCCCCAAGCAGACGGTCAGCAGCCTGCTGGTCTGCTCCCCCACCTGCACCAGGTACGGGGCCCACGGCCCTCAGGACTCCACGGCCCTCAGGGCTCTCCTCCCCTCCCCTCGCCACCCCACAGCTGTCAGCCAGGCGAGGGCAGCCATGCTGACAGCCCTGGGGACCTGCAGGGCCGCCGTCACCATGTGGAGGGAAATGCTCTCAAAGCCCCCGGCCGTGGAGAAGGTGCTGCAGGAGCTGCTCCAAGTGCTGATAAACCATTCTGAGCACCACGCGTCACCGTTCATGAGGGACAGGCCACGTGTCCTCGCCCTGGCCGTGAGTTCCTCGCTCACCCAGCTGAGCCTGAGTCCCCGCTCCCCTCCCCTATCCGCCCCCAAGACGTCTTCCTGCCCTGGCATCCCTCCATAGACCTGCCAGGGGCTCTGGGGGTCCCCCTTCCCTACACGTGTAGGGATGGCACGGAAAGGAAACCTGGGGGATGGGGCAAGAACCGTATCTGGGTGCTTTCTGCAGGCTGCAAGGACCCTACCGGAGATACTCCAGCTGCCTCTGGTCCTGAAGGAGGCCCGGGCCATCTTCCCAAAGCTCTTCCTGGTCCTCCTCCTGCAAGTGTCCTTCACCACCAAGCTGACACAGCAGGAGATGGAGATCTTCTGGGAGGCGCACCAGCAGAACACGCTCACTCCCATCAGGTGCCGCATCCCCGACCCCGCTGCACCAGGACCCGGTGCTGGGGCTCCCGATGTGACTCGCACCCTTCTCCACCTGCAGGTCCGCGGTGCAGGCCATGAAGGTGCTGCTCTGCAGCGAGGGCCTCCAGAGGCAAATGGAGGCCATCCAGGAGCAGGGGGGCTGGGACATGCTTCTCGGCACCGTCACCCACCTCCAGGGCGTGCAGGTGGTGGCCAGGTGAGAACTCCTTCCCCGGCCTGCCAGGGGGTCCCCAGTGCTCGGACAAAGTGGCAAGAGGGCTGCACAGCCACAGCTGCGTCCCCCCGGCTCGGGGCTCATGGTGCCTTCTTATCCCTGCCAGGGCCATGAGGGAGCTGCCCGGTGCTCTGCGTGATGCCATCTGCCACCAGCTGGTTGAGCTGCTCAGCACCAGCTTCTACTCCTGGGAGATGGTGGCCATGGTCTTCCTCATTGAGGTGAGCAACAGCTGAAGGAGCAGCCAACCTGAGGCTGTTTGGCTGTGCCCTGCTGCCTTTCCCCAAGCGGAGTGTCGGATCCAGCACTAAGAGCCCCCTGTGTTGCAGGTGCTGGAGTGCATGGACCTCACCACTGAGCTGCACGGCATCCTCAAAGTCTTCACCAAGCATCTGCAGAGCCAGAGCATGAGCATGCGGCAGCTGGTGCTCAGGGGCATCCTGCAGCTCAGCAGAAGGCAGGACACGGTGAGCAGGGGCAGCCTTAAAGCCCATCCCATCACTGCCTGCTAGCCTCGGGGCTGGCACCGGAGTGCTTTTGACCTCACTGTGCTTCCAGCTGTACCTAAAGGAAGGGGTGCTTTTCCCGCAGGCAAGGCCAATGATCATCTTCCTGCCGTGCATCATGGAGCAGCTGCAGGATGCAGACAGCACCAGCCGTGCCATAGCCCTGCCGATACTCAGCACCCTGCTGCAGCTCCTGGATGTGGCCAAGACCAGCTTCATGGCTCTGGAGCTGACCAGCAAGCTCCCAATGCTCTTTAATGATGTAAGGATGCTAGGGAGTCCAGCACACTAGGCATGTGTGCCCATGCCTGCTGCCCCTGCTCCCCCATGTCACAGCACACCAGGGGACTTCCTGGCTGGTCTGCAGTTCCAGGCGCTGCGTGCCCCTGGGCAGACCTTCTGCAAGGCAGAGCTTGCACGCTCTGGAGCAGTTCTGGGGCCATCCTCAAGATCTGCCCGCCACCTCTCAGCTCAGAGATTCTGCCCCCACTTCCTTGGTGGCAATGGCCCTGCTTGCCATGGACGTGGAGCTGCTGACACTGACGTCCGTCTGTCCTTTCTTCCTTCCTTCCTTCCTCCTCTGCAGGAGTCCACCACTGTGCGGCAGCTCTCCATGGACCTCTTCCTAGAAACGCTGAACTTTGTGGAGGACCGAGAGAGGAGGAAGATGCAGAAGGAGGTGCACAGGAACCTGGTCCTGCTGTATCTCCACCTGCACGACGAGGAAGAGAGCGTGGCCAAGGTGGGGATTGCGTTCATTTGGGGGAGGGCGATGCTGCTCCCGCGGTGCCCCCCAAACTCCACAAGCATTGCAGCCCACGGCAGCATCAGTCCCCGCTGCTGCATCCTCCCTGTGGAGGAGCTGCGGGGGACGCAGGCTGTGCTGCTGCTCGGGCTGCGGTGCCATCTCAGCTGTTTGGCAGGCCTCCCAGAAAGCCCTCCTCGGTGCCGCACGATTCCTGCGCTGGAGGCGGCTGGAGCACCTGGTGCAGACGGCGCAGTTCTGGCAGATCGGCGAGTGCCTGGTACGCACATTCCCACACCCCAGGACAGGGTTGCGACCACCCTGCGCTGACCCCGCGCTCTTCCCTCTGCAGCTGGCCAAGAGGAGGATGAAGGCAGCAGCGCAGGACTACGTGGGCCAGAGCCTGCTGTATCTACGGAGCCCGCAGGAGCCCCTGCGCCGGGAGGCCGTGCGGTTCATTGGTGAGCCATGAGACTGAGCTTCCCCTGTCCCCGGCCCTCCAGCTGCACCCGGGGAGCAGCCAGGGTCGCTGATGGGGCCGTGTGTTCCTAGGGCTCTTAGGGCAGCACGTGACGGATCAGCAGCAGGTCGACAGAGAGCGCATCTACGAAGGTGAGCCAGGCAGTGGGATGCCGGGGCAGCCGGCAGGCGACGTGCCTGTCACCTGCTCCCTCCCGCCGGAGGGAAGAGCTGGGCTGAAACTGAAAGACTGGGCTGAAACTGAAAGAGCCTCTCTTTCTCTCAGGCCTTCAGGGACTGCAGCAAGACTCCAGTCCATCCGTCTCCTCGCTGGCCCTTCAGACACTCAAGATCCTGCAGGAAAGGAGGCCACGTCCACCACGAGGAGACTTGGGGCAGCTCTTCTCCAGGCTCCGCAGCGCGTGGAGGAGGTGGCGCTCCTCCCGGGCAGACAGCTGAGCGCCCTGCAAAGCTCGCGGCATCTCCTCCTGCCCGCTGCTCAGCTCTGCTCCTCGGCCACATCCTTCCCCGCTGCTGTGCCGCTCCTCACCCTGCGCTGCCACCTCCTTCAGCGCCAGTGCCTGTCTTCTCTCTGCGGGAAATGGAAAAACACCCAGGAGATCAGCGTTGCCCTGAGAGGAACGGCACGTGCAGCGCTCCCTGCCGCTGCCACATGCTTTCGGCCACTGCCAGCAAGCACCAGCTGCTTTTCTTACCATTGTGTGTCATATGGACCAACCCATATCTGCTCATCAGTTCACCCCTCCATCTCAAGCAGTGGATTCCACAGCCCTAACAATTGCTTGTTTTCCTTAACATCCTCTCTGTTCTTTGCAAAAAGACAACTGAGCATCACAAGAAGCCTCTGCAAGGCAGAAAGGAACTGATGAGCTGCAGAAGCAGGCATGAAGGACGGGAAAAACATCTGGAAATGAGAAATGCTGTGGACCATATGGACAACAAATATATGCCTGATACACTACTGCCAATTTTCCACGGGGCTTCTAATAACATTCATCGCTTAAACTTCTTCAAAAAGTCATCTATCACGGGACACAAAGACACAAGTCCAACTGGTGAAATGCTCAAGTAAGAACAATACTAAATAAAACCAACATCTACACCACAAAGCCTCCAGTGTGCTCCCTGCTGCTCTAGTAGCAATCACATAGAGATCACAGCTCAGATTCCTGCTGCAGGCTGAACTGCTCACAAGGTGCATGAATCACCCGGACAAGGGGACGAGCATCCAGACAACAAAGTCTGCTCCCATTACTAAAGCAACTGTTGTCCTAAAAGCATCATTTCATTGCAGAGAACTGCAGAGGAAACCTGCTGTACGAAGCAAGGACTCCCATTACATTACTGTCCATCTCTCAGGTCTGAAAGACAGACGTGGGAGCTCTTCAACCTTACTACAAATGAACGCCACCATTTAAACCGCACCATCAATACTGCGATATCCCTTCTAAATAACAACAGCAGAACGGTTTGATCTCTGACTTAGATTTAGATATACAGACAGCACTTGGGATAAAATACTTTTTAAATTCAAGTCAAGTCTAGTTCAGAAGCACAGTTTCATCACTTCAGCACAAGCGGTACCATGCGATAAAACCATCCTGTTATTGAGCCCTGCCTGGCTGCATCACCGCATGCCTCTCCCCTGCTGGAGCGTGGTGCTGTGGGCACAGATGAGGCCACCCTGCACTGACAAGCCCTACAGCCGGAGCTGCAGCTGGACTCACCAGGAGGAGGATGTCTGTGAGCAAGGGCTCGCTGAGAAGAGCAGGAGCTCTGATCTGAGCTCCCAGCAACTTCCGAGCACGCAGACTGCAAACTAACCCTGTCCTCTCTATTCCGTTTCCTGAAGGGCATTCAGTGCTGCGAAAGAAAGGCACTTACACAACCACACACGCTCCCCCTGTCATTGGTGGCACAGAGCCTCCTGTAAGCACGTCTGAAGAAATGCACCTTTTACACTGCCTAACAAACGGCACCCACTGCAACGAGACTACCCCTACTCTGTACGACCCAACAGAGACAGACACAGCTCTCTTTTACCGTCAGTCCTCCTGTCCACACCAGGAGCTGCCCCACGCAACACTTGCACGGCAGCCTGTTCCCACCCCACGTATGACAGCAGCATGACTGCATCCTCGAGTCCTCTCTGGATTCCGTTCCGTACAGAGCTCCGGGCACAGCTGAGACTAGCAGAGCACGGAGCAGAAAACAAGAACGTGATTTTACAGAGCACTTCTCAAACACTGGCCTACCTCTGTGTGCCAGATCTACTTCTTGTTCTTGGAATGGACAGCAACACACCATCCCCCACGGCCCACAGGAGCCAGGGCTCAGCTGGCACGTCAGGGAAAGGGCGCACTGTCACATTCACAGCATTTGGGACCTTGAGCTCTAGGCACTACGTTGGTCATCTCCATGCTGGCAGAGCTCTCCCGTGCAGACCGACACCCAAAATGCAGACAGAAATGGCCATCAGAGTTAACACCAGGCCAGCCTCACGGCGTCACAAGGTTTGCAACCGCTCCTCAGCAACGCGATCCAGCTCATGAGAGTTGGAGTTTGCTTCCTCTAAACCTGAACAGGCGCCTCCCCAGACAACAGCAGTTCCACATTATTTTCCAAACACCTTGTTTTCCTTTCTCGCAGTGGCGAAGTGAATAAACCTGTGTATTTGTAAGCAGGACTTCAAAGGCCGTCAGAGCAACACCTGAAGATAAACATCTACTTCTGGGAGCATCTCCGTTTCACACAAAGCATCCCTTCTCCTCTTTCCCCTCATTTTTCCCTACCCTCTTGAAACAAATACGCATCCAGTGGATAAAGCAGTTGAATTCATTAACATTTAAGTGTGTTCTTGCAGACAGCTACCCGTTATATAGAATAAACAATTAAGCACAAGACACACTCAAGATCCTGCAGGAAAGGAGGCCACGTCCACCACGAGGAGACTTGGGGCAGCTCTTCTCCAGGCTCCGCAGCGCGTGGAGGAGGTGGCGCTCCTCCCGGGCAGACAGCTGAGCGCCCTGCAAAGCTCGCGGCATCTCCTCCTGCCCGCTGCTCAGCTCTGCTCCTCGGCGACATCCTTCCCCGCTGCTGTGCCGCTCCTCACCCTGCGCTGCCACCTCCTTCAGCGCCAGTGATGGCGGCAGGGCAGGGGTCCAGCTCTCCGTGGGCGCATCGCCGCCCCTCATGTTGCGGCAGGGAGCCGCTGCACCTTGCCATCTGCTGCTCGCACTTCCTAACACTCCTTAATCTCTCCACTTCCTCTTCATGCTCTGTCACCTCACTGAGCTGAAACAGGAACAGCCCTTCAGCTATTTTTTCAAGAGGAATCAACTTTACGGCTTACAGCCTTCTGACATTAACTTATCTAAGCCACTAGATGGCAAACAGCCTGTAAGGCACGGCACAGTTAGCCTGCACGGCTTTCAGCACGGTTAGTCCCCAAAGCACGTGATTAGACTGTGAGTACTTCTAGTCCGTTAGCTGATTCTAATGCATACTGTGGCTGAATGATGGTCAGATTAGACTAATAACGATGATGTCAAACAACAGGTCACATCGTGACTAAGAGCCACATGCCAAAGTCTCTAACTGACCTATCAGCCACTTTGATCTTATTCAATCTTGCACAAGCAGCCTTAGCACCAGATATGTTAGAAAAAAATACTTGTTTGGTTTTGCTTTGTTTACTTTTCAGTAACATTTTGAGCATGGTTAAACATAGGAGTGCCATGTTGCTGAAGTAGCACGCAACCTAAAGCGGGCTTCAAGAGGAAGTGCACTGAAAACCATCATTCTCCAATTCCCACAGCAGGCAGTGCCTCCATTCCTCCATCCTTTACCACGATATATCCCTTGTTTGGTTGTCCTGAGATACTATTTACAGCAGTGTACTCTAAGATACTACGCTTCCCTGTGGTGGCAGAAAGATAAAATAACTTCTACGAAGCTCCTTACTTCAGAGTTAGGCTGCTTTTGGAACCACAGCAGGCTGGTTCTTCCTCCAGCACAAAACAAACACAGCCCTTGGCCCAGGGCAATGAAGTAAACCCTTGTTGTTATGAAACGTACATCGAACCTCTACAGCAAAGAGAGCCTTCAAAAGCACCAGGCAGCTGCAACTCAGCATGACAGAGATCTCAGCATGAGTTGCAACTCTTCCTTCCCAACTTTGAAAAATAAAAATCTTAGCTCTTACAGTGCTCAGTAGCTGCGTTCCACTGGACATTTCTGCACTATACCATCATAAGGGACTTCATGATGAAAGGCAGACTTTGACTTTGTAACACCATTTTTATATCAGTTGTTACTGCTCGGAAAATTTATAACACAGAAAAAGCAGTTAAAGATGTTCTGTGATATCACCTCCCCGCAGAGGAAATTGTATTCAGCTGGAACATTAAGGATTATTTCCTTAGGGAGAAAAAAATTCCAAATTAATAACAAACTGAGACTGGGAAGCAGGAATCTTAAAACAGCAGTGAGATCCTGAAACAAGACTGATGAGTTGTGACTATTCTAAAACAAAGATCTCACTGCAGAACCAAAATGAAAACGAACATAAAGGACCAACAGCAACTGTGCAAGTTACTCACCCAAACAAATACTGTATTCTGTATTCAGTTTGAGGACTGCTCCAAAAATAATGCCTATTTTATGGCATTGGCCCATGATGTTAGAGGCAGATCTGTGATGGGATGGCAGTAGAGGCTGAACCTTCCCATCTATAATCCATTACGTGCTGTTGCCCTTCAACAGATGGCTGCAGAGGAGCAGTCTGACAGAATGGCATCTGACACGGAAGTGCATACAAAGCAAAAGAGCGGAATTGATTTTGTCCATGAGGAAAAAATGGCACCTGCGGACATTCATCTACTCCTGTGAATGTTTATGGAGACCAAACAGTGGATGGGAGCACAGTGATTTGGTGGGTGGTGCATTTCAGCAGTGGCAACACTGACATGAAAGAAAAGCCACATTCTGGGTGGCCACGCAGATTTTTCACAAGTGTGTCATGCAGGCTCTTGTTCTTTGCTGGCAAAATTGCACAGCTAATGGTAGTGACTGCACCAATAAACTGTTTTTACTGAAATCTGCTCTATCAAATAGTGTTATTGTGCTCTTTGCACCTGTTGGAGTTTCCATGGAAATAAATGGGAGGCATTACTTCCGGAGCAGCCTATACAATTTCATTTTATTTGTGTGTCTCTTTTCCCTGAAAGGCACTTTTAGGAACCACCAACCGTGGTATGAAATCATAGGCAAAGTTCTGTACTACTGCCTTAATGCCACCTGGAAGAGTGCATGAGGTAGCACAGAATGACTGCCCATGCAGCGAGCCACATTTCTGCAGCTGCTGTAGAAGCTTTTGGCTTTCCAGGCAGGACTGTTTTTAGAAACGAGCAAAACACACACTCCAAAATCCTGGTGATGACCGAGCACCTCAAATAGCATCCTCTCCAGCTGGCTCAGTGCACAGAGCAAAGCAGCATCCGCGGCGGGCAGCCCGAGTGCGGCTGCTGTGCGCTGCCTTTGCCCAGACTGCTACAGCCGGAGCAGAGGCTC